CCCCCGCCGTCCGCTCCTGCCCCCCTGCCCCAGTGCCCGCCCCTGCCCCGGCTCTGCCCCTCCTCGGCTGTCTGCTCTTGCCCTGCCGCTGCACCCCTGCCCTTGCCCCCGTGCTGGCCCTGCCCTCCCCGGCCCTGCCTGGGCTGTCCATGGTTCCCAGCCTGAGTCCGCACTGATGTGGCCGGAGTGGGGACCCTGCACCCTGCCCCGGGAATTCAAAGAAAGCCGGCTCCAACCCGGCTCCAACCCGGCTCCAACCCGCGGGGCAGCTGCTTCTGAGCAGGTCGGGGATGCGCTGGCCACGGGGACCCTCACTGGCCCTGCAGGGTCGTGTGCACGCCCAGAGCACTTTGGCACCAGGTTTGGGGACCACTCCAGGCCAGTGTGGCTGGACGGCCAGGCCTGGGAAGTGGCGTTGCCGGTAAGGGCCAGCCGGCCGTGCCCCCAGAGCGCCGCCCAAGCACCCATGACAGCAGTGCCTACGTCCACGGCAGGAAGGAGACGTCCCCAAACTGAGCAGGGTTGCCATCCCTGTCGCTTTCTTTTCTAACAGGAGAGACAGGGACACAAAGGGTGGCCGGTCTCACCCGGAGGTACCCAGGGGATGGGGAGCCAGTCCTTCCTAGAGAACACGGTGCCACTCCGCCCTCGAGGGGAGGCCTGCGGGAGGCCAGCATGGGTCAGCACGGCCCAGCGGCCTGCCCTCCGAGTGCCCAGGCTCAGCTCTTCCACCTCTGGCGGAGCTAGCGAGGCCAGTCCCTCACTTTTAGGTTTCCCGTAGGGTGCGTGTGTGCTCGCTGGAGAGACCGGCCGGCCACGCTGCAGTCCCTCCTTCCCCCTCGGCTTTTCAGGCACACACATGCACACGTGCCTTGGGGTGATTTTCAAGGCACCTGGTCCGGGACTCAAACTGCAGTTGGCTGTGTGGGCTCTAGCGCCTGGACCGCCACACCCCCTGCTGGCCCCAAGGTCTGTCCTCTTTACAGACTCCCCTGCAGGCTTCTCTCTGTGGGCTCTGCTTGCCGAGGGCTCACGGTAGTGGCTGCACAGGCCTCATGTCCCGAGTCTGCTCGGCCTCACAGCCCCTGGAGTCTCCGAAACAAGGGGAACGAGCCGGCCTCTCGCTCCCGCGCAGCAGGGCAAGGCTGGCGGCTCTCTGCCCGGGTCTGACTGCATGAGTGTGCGCGTGTAAGCACGGGAGCCAGAGGGGCGCTGAGCAGAGCCCTGGGAGCCCCGGCTGGGCCTGCAGGCCGAGGGGCCAGTGTGGGGGCACCTCTGCCCTCAGCCAGCGAGCCCCTGCGGCCGCCAGCCTGCCGGCTATGAGGACACCGAGGAGGACAGGGGTGTTGGCGCTGGCACTGACCGGCAAACAGCCCCGGCAGTGTGCGGAACCGTCCGCGGCGTGGGGAACCCCATCTGCAGGGCCGTCAGCGCCGTGGGGACCTGTGCATCTTGTAGCCCTTTCTGGGGCAGCTCCCGGGGTGGGGGTCTGCGAGGTCATGAGCACGCCACCACCTGGTCACTGCTGTCACTCGGGGAGGCTGGGCGCTAGCACAGGCCGGGGCGCTGGGAGGAGAGGCCCAGAAGACGGCCCAGCCCTGCCGCGTGGGTGGTGGCCGGGCCCTTGTCTGGCGTGTGCTCTGTTCCCCTGGAACCTCCCAGCTACTGGCGGCCACCCCTCACCTGACCCTGGAGCATAGGCGGCAGGCATGCAGGCAGCGGCAGTGTGGGCTTACCCCTAGACCTCGGGCCGGGCTTCCCTGCGGTCAGCCTGTGCCATCCCCAGCCCACCTGCCAGACGCCAGCCCTCCCCTAGTCACAAGCGTGGGTCTGGACACCGCCAGACGCCCTGGGAGACACTCTTGGGGACCAGGCCCGGAGTCAGTGGGGACCTGGTGCTGACGGCCACGCCCCTGCTCTTGCAGCAGCTGAAGCAGCAGCGGGACAAGCTGAGGCAGTACCAGAAGAGGGTCGCGCAGCAGCTGGAGCGCGAGCGGGCGCTGGCCCGGCAGCTGCTGAGAGACGGCAGGAAGGAGTGAGTGGCCGCGGGCAGGAGGACCGCCGAGTGGGGAGGGCGAGGAGGGCAGGGAGGACAGGGACGGCCGGGAGGGCCAGGATGGCAGGGAGGGCGAGGAGGACCGCCGGGCGGAGCAGCTACAGCAGTCACTGGGGTCCCCTGTAGGCGGGCCAAGCTACTGCTCAAGAAGAAACGGTACCGGGAGCAGCTCCTGGACAAGACGGAGAGCCAGATCAGCAGCCTGGAGACCATGGTGGGCCGGGCGTGTGTGTGTGTGTGTGTGCGTGCAGCCCTGGGGAGCAGGGGTGCCCCAGGAGACGGGCAGCACCATGGACGGCAGAGTCTCCACCCGAGAACTGAGGATGCGCTCGGCCCTGTCCTGGGAGGCCAGGGACCTGCGGGACCTGCCACAGGAGCATGGTCCGGGGGACTGGGCTGCCCCGGTGGTGACGGGCCAGTGTGTGGGAGCGTCCCCGGCAGGGGCCCAGGCTGGCTTCCACTTGTCTGCTGACCGGGGCTGCCCCAGCTGTCAGTGGTGCCTCCTCCCCTCCTGCTGCGGCCCCGTGGGCGGGGGGAGGGTGGCCCGAGGCACCCAGCAGTGCCTGGGAGCCGCTGCCCCTCCTGACCGCTCGGCCTGGCCCGACCCACCCCAGGTGCAGAGTATCGAGTTCACGCAGATCGAGATGAAGGTGATAGAGGGGCTGCAGATCGGGAACGAGTGTCTGAGCAAAATGCATCAGGTGAGTCCTCGCCGGGCCGGGCTGGGCGGGCTGGGAGCCACCGGGCAGGGGAGGTCCCACGGTCACGAAGGCCGTTTTCCCGGGCGAGGCCCATCCATTGCGCTCGGATGTGCTGACCCCTGCGACTTCCCCAAATGCGGGAAGCTTGACTGCATAGCTTGTGTGGGGGGAGTACCTGAGAGTGGGGCAGGGAGCTAACCGAGGCGGGCTTCCTGGAGGAGGTGGGCACTGCTCTTGCCTCAGAAGCAGCATGAACATGGAGGTGGCCAGGTCACAGACCCCCGCCCTGTCACGTGCCGAGTGAGAGGAGCAGCCTCTGGGCTGCTTTCATTTAAGCGGGGCGGGGCCCTGGCCCTGGTGACACGGGTGCCTGACGCGGGCCGGCCGGCTGCAGGTGATGTCCATCGAGGAGGTGGAGCAGATCCTGGATGAGACGCAGGAGGCCGTGGAGTACCAGCGGGTAGGTGCCGGGGCACTCCCCACGTGGGGAAGGCATCCACGCGTGGCCTCCGCCCACAGGGGACGTCGTGACACGGGCCCCCTCCCTGACGAGGCTGCCTCCCAGCCCCGACCTCACTCCCTGCTCTTGCAGCAAATCGATGAGCTGTTGGCGGGCGGCTTCACCCAGGAGGACGAGTACGCTGTCCTGGAGGAGCTGCACGCCATCACCCAGGTAAAGATCAGGCGGGCACGCTCACCGGGGCTCGGGGCCCAGGGCGGGCACGCTCACCGGGGCTCGGGGCCCAGGGCGGCCAGGCTCACTGGGACATGGGGCCCCAGAGTAGGCGTGGTCACCCCAGACACGGGACCCCAGGTCCGACCAGGTCCCCAGGGCCTGGTGTGGTCGCTTAGTAAATATGGCCCCCAGGGCAGGGCATGGTCAGCCAGGAAACAGGCTCCCGAGCCGGCTCTAGCTACAGTGAAAGGACCCCTGGCCCAGGTCCACTCATTTAGGGAACAAGAACCCAAGAGGCCTCTGCCCATGGGGGACCCGGGACGCCCCCCGTCTCAGGTCCTCCTCAGCACACAGCACCCGATTGTTCTTCCTAAAATGACGGCCCTGTCCTATGCTAGGCCCCTTCTCCGCGCTCCTGGCAGTTGGGGTGGGGGCGAAGGAGTCTGTGGTGCGCCCGCCCCGCACCTCCAGTGGGCGCCAAGCCCCAGCCCTCCTGCCCAGCCGGCATGCTTTGTGATTGGGGGGTCTCCTGTGGCTGGTGGCTCAACGCCCAGGCCGTGCCCTGCAGCCCTGCTCCCTGTCAGCCCTGCTCCCCGTCCCAGTGCTGCACTCTGAGCCCCCGGATGGGGCGCATCCTCTCTGGCCACCGCCTGCTCGCCGTGCCCCAGGGTCCGCCCTGGCCCTGCAGTGCCACCTCAAACTGCCGTGCCCTGAGCCGGCGAGGAGTAGTAGGCCTGTGTTCTGGGACAGCCCCCACTGCAGCCGCTACCCCAACGGTGCCACTCAGGGCCCTCCCGGCAGAGACGAGGCTTCCCGGACCTGCGAGCCCACGGCGCCGGGCACTAGCTGCAAAGCTACGGTGCTGGCACGGAGCCCGGCAACCGGTCTGGGGAAGCCCAGGAGTCTCCATGGCCGTGGCCCTCAGTCGGAGCCCTCCAGAAAAGCCGATGTTGTGACAGCGTGCCGGCCTGGACCCCGGGTGGTCATGTGGGCGTGTCCCCCCACACCCCGTCCTCACATGGCCAAGCCGGTGCCGTCCTGCCCAGCTGCCTCACAGCACTTGGGCTTCTTGCAGGAACACCTCGAGCTCCCGGAGGTCCCTTCAGAGCCGCTTCCCGAGCACCCAGGTACCTGCATGTCACGTGCTTTCCCGCGTGCTGGGGTCACAGATCCCCAGGGGTGGGTAAGGGTACTCCTACACACGGGCCTGGCCCTGCCCACTGAGCACCGGACTCGGTGGGGCAAGGAGCCTTGCCTTGGGCCTGGGCAACCGCCTGGGGCTGGTGTCCAGGGAAGCCCCATTCCAGTCCAGCCGGGTGACTGCTCCCTGGAGTCCCCACTTCATCCTGCCCCTCTGTGGGTGCTGGGCCCACGTCCCTGCCCTGGTGCCCAGTGGCTGCCCAGAACCTCCCCCGGCACAGACCTTCCGTTCTGTCCACAGAGAAAGCCGCCAGCAAGGCTCGGCCCCGGCAGGTGGACCTGGTGGCCGCTTCATAGCTCTGCCTCGTGCGTGGCTTGTGGGGGCTCCCCGAGGACCAGGCCACAGGGTCGGCTGTGCGGCGGCATCTCCTTGGTGGAGGGGCCGATGGCCAGGCGCTGCCGTCCCGCACTCACGTCTGGGTTAACCAGCAGCGTTCAAACCCTCAGCCGAGCGCGCTTCCCAGGCCGAGGTTGCCAAGGCGGCCGCAGCCTGGCCCGACACTCCTGGTGCTGCTAACGCTGCTGTCCCCAGCCCTGCGCCACTCGCCCTCTCCTGGGAAGGTGCCACCAGACCTTGGGTCCCTGCGCTTCCGAATTGTCACTTCCTCGCTGCTTTCCTTAGCTGGTGGGCCTTCGGTGGAGGGGCCCCGCACTGGCCTGGCTTCTGGACCGCCTGTGTACTCAGGGCGGGACCTCAGGAAACCAGCGCCTGCCGAACCTCTGGGCGCCTCTGCCTTTCAAGTGTGGGGTGGGGGCTGGGGCCGGCCCTGCCGTACTGACGACTCCAGGACCGCGGACACCCTCTTGTCACCTTCGTGGGTCCCTGCTGAGGAAGGACATCCCGGAGCTGGCACCCAGGCCTCCCAGCAAGTGCGGCCCCCACACCGGGACCTGTGGACCGTGGAGTCCTGGGATGCCCTGGCCTGCCAGCTCCCGAGCCGCCCGTGACCACGATGTGAGGCCGCAGAGCCAGAAGTGGCTTCTTGTGTGTGGGTCCTGCTGTTACCGGCCCATCCCACCGGGCCGCACTCCTGCTGGGGACAGAGCAGGCCCCAGCCCTGAGGGTGCACGGGGCAGGTCCTGGCCCCGGGCCTCCCCCTTGGCCCCTCAGGTCGAGCCCAGCATTAAAGGTGCCCTGCATGGCCTACTCCTGGGTGTGGTGCTGCAGCCCTTGCTTCTGCTCCCTCTGGGGCACCAGCCGGGCATCTGCCATGCAGAGCTCGTTTCCTGGGGTGACCCTGGCTAAAACAGCCCCTCGGCCAACCTGGGGTACTCAGTGGAGGCTGCCTGCCCGGACAAATGCACCAGGCACCGCGGAGGGGCCGTTCTGGGCTCCGCCAGGCCAGGGACAGGAAGAAGGCTGTGGCCACCAGCCCTAACGGTCACTGCTGGGCAGCAGCCAGCCTGCCCCACTGGTCTGTGGGCCCTGCCAGGAGGGAGGGCACCAGTCTGGAGTCCTCGTGCCTGGGGGGACTGGCTCCTGGAGGAGACTGCCCTGTGCTGTGGGCACTAGATGCCAGCCTAGCGTTGCCAGGTCTCAGGGCTCCTGCTGCTCCCTGGTGGCCAGGCACAGCACAGGGCCAGCAGAGCCTGGCCGACTCCCTTCTAGTCCAGGCGGCCCCCAGTGCACGGCCTCGTGGCAGAACTGACCCCCTGGCTGGAGTGGGAGGAGCGGGCTGGGGGGCGGGCAGAGGTCTCCACACAGACATGAGCGCTCAGCAACCTGGAGGGGCGTGGGCAGCTGGTGGCAAAGGCTTCCTGGGAGCTGCCTCAGGCCCTGGACCAGAAACCCTGGGGGTGGGGGGCGGTGTGGGTCTTCAGGGACCCCGAGTCTCCAGGGCCGTCCGGCTGGGATGCACACTTGTGCAGGAAGGGGGGTACGCCAGCGCAGGATGGGGTGTCTGGCAAAGACGGGCCCTGGAAGGGCTGGGTGCGCACCAGGCAGGGTGTGGCTGCCGGCCCCGGCGGCTCCTGCAGAGCACTGCCCAAGAGGGAAGGATGACCTCCCACCTCGGCCCAGCAGGGTGTCTGACTGCTTCAGCCACTGAGCACTTGAGGCCCCTCTCCCTGTGGGCCCTTGGTGGCCCTGGGAACCCACTCCGTCGCCCAGCTTGTAACCACACCTGGAAACCGCTGGCTCTTTGCGGCCCCTGGGACGCAGCTTTGGGGGCAGTCCTGTCATCGATGTCGAGCCCGAGGGTGGCAGGCCTGGAGCAGGAGGGCAGGCGCAGCTCCGAGGTGGGGAGTCCTGCTCAGGTGCCAGCGTGGGGCTGTCACGGGGAGGCCGGCAGCGTGCTGGTCTGCGTGTGACCGTGGGGGCCAGCAGGTGGCGTGCTGGTTACAGCGCTGGACTCCCACGTGGCCTCCAGGGTTCTGGGGCTTGGCAGCTTGAAAACCGCCTGTGTGTGTGCATACGTGCCCACGGCCCCGCGAGGAGGGTGAAGGGCGTGCGGCGTGGCCACCCCGGGGTGAGCTCTCTTTCCGTCTGTCCCTGAGAGCACATGTCCCATGGCAAAGCCTAAGGACAGTACTGCACAGGGCGCTGTGTGCTGTGTCCAGTCCTGCAGCCAGTTGGGGCAGAGTCGTCCCGCACCCAGATGCCCTCCTGGCCCCTGGCGTCCGCTTTCTTGAAACTCACAGAAACAGAAGTGGGCCTGGGGAGCCCAGGCCGGGCATGCGGCAGAGGGCCGCCTTCCCGTGACCCCGGACCGTCCCCTCGACAGGGCCCCTCTTCTCTCGCCCATGTGCTGTTCCCGGACGCGTGGGCCCCTCGTTTGTTCAAGGACATCTGTCTGGTCACGACACGGCGGCTAGGTGCTCCCGAGGGCACATCTTCCTTTCTCCTGGGCAAACGCAGGTGTGCAGCTGGTCTGGGGGAGCCGCCCTAGCCACCAGGCTGTGCAGCCATGACCCACAGGTGCTGGCAGGAGCCGTGTCCCCGATGGCCAGCATGGGGCACCTCTCACTTTAAGGAGCTGCCGGGGGGCGCTGGAGGTGGTGGTCATGGGACACCCCTTCCAGTCACACCCCTGACCCCATCTCACCTGGATCTAGAGGGATGGGGGCTCAAGGCTAGCCTCTGTCCAGCTGTGCCCCTCAGATGCTTCTGGAAGGGGCCCGTGGTGACCTTTCCCCTGCAGACCTCGCCCTTGGGCTCCCAGAGAGGAGCGGGGGACAGTGGCCCCAGCCTGGTCTTTCCCTGAGGAGGGGACACCTCCACCCACCTCAAGACAAACTGGGCCACGTGGCAGTGTGTCCACCTTTCCTGGGAGAGGTTGTGTCCACACCTGAGACCCCACGGACTGGCAGGGAACCCCAGCCCCGCTCCTTGCAGGAACAGGTGGCCTCGCAGCCCTGGGCCAGCCTTGACCACATGGAGCAAGACACTCGTGGGGCCTCTCAACATCTCTTGCCCACATCTTTCATGTCTGGGTGTTCCCTAGGCTTGGGCGAGGGGGCTGCGTGCCCAAGGACACAGGGGACCGCCTCAGTGTTCTTTGGGGGAGAGGTTTCTGCTGCCAGATACATGTGCTCATCAGAAAGAGAGCAAGAAATCGCCCCCACACCACAATCCATTCTCCATTTTCCTCTCGGGACCTCGGGCACGCACGCTCAGGCACCCGGCGTGAGCTTCAAGCCTCCAGGTCCAGGATTCAAACCACGGTCAACCGTGTGGGCGTCCAGTGATGTGACCGTTATGCCATCTGCTGGCCCTGGTCACCTTGGTGTTCTGTGCCCTCCTGTCCCCCGAGGACACGGTGCAGGCTGCCTGGGTTGTGGCTGTCCTTCACGACAAGGCCCTCCACGGGGCACTGCATGCGAGGTCGATGTGCAGGTTTTCGTTTCAGGCGTGACCAGGACCGGAACTGCCACGTCTGAGGTGTGAGAGGGTGTGAGAGGTAGCCACGCCGTGTCACACCGCAGCAGTATAGCACGCTGCGGCTCCACGTCCCCTCCAGCGCTGACTGCTGACCTCTGGGCGTGTAGCGGGTGGCACAGCGCTCACGTCGCCCTCCGTCTGTCCATCCCTTCCCGGGTGCTGCTGGCCGTCCAGAGTCCCGCTGGGCAAACGTCTACTCTGCTCTCTGAGAGGGGCTGAGGCAGGGAGGTGCAACCTCTGGGCCCTGGGCGGCGGCTCCGAGGGCAGTGGGACAAGTACCTGGGTAAGGGTGCGGGTCTGACGGCCGGTGGTGGTGGCATCATCCCTCTTTCTGCGAGGGGTTCCTCAACAGGGCAGCCACTGCCTCCTTTTCCCAGGGCTAGGCCTGGGCCTGGATCCTAGTGGAGCCGGGAAGCCGTGGGCAGGGGAAGCAGCAGCAGGAGCGACCAGGGGCTGCCAGTCCAGATAGGGCTGCCTCCTGGGCCCCTCTCCGTGTGCCCTCCCATCCCTTCCGTCCCTGACTGCCAGGCCTGGTGGGTGCAATAGCCCTGCACCCTGGAAGGGGCCAGAGGAGCCAGCAGCCCTTCCCCCCCACACCCCTACCCTGGCCAAGCCGTGTGGCCTGAGACGGCTCAGGGCACACTCCCTGGCGGCACTGAGGCTGATACTGTGGCCCCGTGCGGGGGGGACACGCCCCGCTGGTATCGCTGGCTGGGTGAGCTGCTCCTTGGCCCTGGCCACCACCCCTCTGCCTGCCAGGGCTGCACAGTCCAGGACCCGACCCACGGCACCTGCAGGTGGGGGACCCCTCACTGCGTGTGTGCCTGTGTGCAGGCGGGCATCTGCTGTGCCTCTTCGTGAAGGGTGCCAGGAGTCGGGCTTCGCACACAGCAGCTCAGGACCCCAGTTCACACCCACCTCCCCGTCAGACTCCCCGAGAGGGCGCGGTCGTAGAAGCTGGCAGCCAGCGCTCGCCTCACCAGGCCGCGGTCAGCCTCGCTGTCTCTGGAACCCGCTCGGGCCGAGGGGACAGCTGCACCGGGCCCACCGGTCTATCCGCTGGGCAGCCAGGGGTCCCAGAGGGCCGGGAGGGGGCCCGGCGGCCGGATCCTAGGGGCTGTGGCTCCCTGCAGAGGGCTCATGGGGGACATCCGCCACCAGGAGGATGAGGACCACAGCGCAGTGAGACCTCCGCACCGCCAGGGTAGCTGGAATTAAAGCCGAAAGTGCGGGAAGTATGGGAGGGCGAGGGCCTGGGCGTGGGGGCACCGGCGTCGCGGCTGGGCACGTAACACAGGTGGCCACATGGAGGGCAGCGAGGCGGCCCCTTCCGCACTCAGGTCAGCCCAGCCGCGGTGGTGCAGGGGGCAGGCCTGGCTGCAACCGCCGGACCCAGCAGAGGCCTGGGTTCAGCCCCCAGACCAGCTGAACAGGCCGGCCCTGGTTGGCGCTTCTGTAACCCCG